ATATATATATATATATATATGTATAATTTTCAATGATAAAAGAAGAGGAATCTGCGAGTGCGAAACAAAGTTGCCTCAAACGGGATTTGAACCCGGGACCTTCTGCTGTCTATGCAGACATCCCACCAACTGTGTCATTGAAGCTTCTAGGGAATTCAAATCCAATTAAAGCAACTAATTCCTCGCACTCTTGCGGATGCTTAGTGTGGACAGCACTAGTCCTTAATGCATGGCAAATAACAGGGATCAATATGATACACCCTCTTCTTATAAGCATTTTTGTAATTCTATATTCGTTTGTGTACATACTTGTCACGTCTCCGGTATTCTTTCCTTAAAATGATTTGTAGGTAACCGGATACGGCATAATGTTCTAAAGTAAGTCAGATATCATTTAAATTTAAAAATTACGACACATTAATGTCAAAAGCAAATATCATTGGAAAGTATTAAGTTGCATTCTCGGTTAAACCATTATTTAAAGGCTTATTTATTCAGCATCAAAAATTTAAATAACTTCCTTTCCTGTTTTGTTTTGAAAAAAAATAAATGGTAAAAAATAAAAAAGACAACAATTATAACTTATGTTCATCACAAAGTATAAAATGAAATTAATTTTATTTGTTTTTTTTTTCTTGCATGAATACTTTTATTCCAGACTTTTTTTTAGTATAAACTTTCAAAGTTTAAGTTCATACAGCCAACAATATTTATGGATTACATAACATATCAACATATATTAACCTAGCTTATAATAGAAGAAATAAAATATTATAACTTTTACAGTGCTTTTACTATATTCATATGGCACACTAGGAACTTAGACTATTTTGATAACCGTCCCAGGTAGCACTGTTTAGGAACAAAACACACCGACAACATCAAGCATCAAAGAGATTCCTCAATTCTATTTTCAGTTTTATCTATATAATACTTCGGCAATAATTGCACTATAATGAAACATGTTGATGACACAATAACCATGTGACTCTGATTCCTAGTCACTCAATTTAAAGGTACAGTGTTATTTAATTAATGCCAATATATTTTATATTGATCATCCAATAGGAATGATCAAAAACACTGGACATTATTACCCCCGGTCACTGAATAACATACAATGGCAAACCAGCACAAAGTGCAACCTTCTCTGCTCCCTGGGGAGTATCCCTAGTCGTTCACATATCTCAGCGCCCAAAACTAGTACAATCAATGTTACAACATCCTACCAGGTGCCCATTTATACTCCTGGGTTGAGAGAGAAAAACATAAAAAAGTGCCTTGCCCAAGGACACAAGCGATGGATGCACGAACCACTTCTACAAATTTGAAGGCATTTAACTTAATATTAACCTCATCTGTCTGGTAAAATCTTGAAAATCCTAAAATGTGTTATTAAAACATTTCTATTATAAAAAGGATAAAATATGTTATTAAGTCTTATAGTTAATTCAAATTTTAAAAAATGCCTTCTTTTACTTTTTTTCATAAGTAAAACATAATTAGCCATTTACAGTTGTTAACCATTAATACTGATAAAATTCTATTCTTTATTTCAAACTCTAGTGTAGGCTGTTAAAAGGGGAAGTGTTTTTCAATGTTTAATAATCAAAGTTATTAATAAATAAAATAAATATAATGGAAAAAATATACATTTTATTTTAGCCTTTAAGATACTAAGTAAAATAGCTACCTACTGTTTTTTGATGATGGATAAGTGATAATGTTAAAAAACTGGCATGTTAACAGTGTGGTGTATCTAACTAGTAGAAGCATAATTGAGATTAATCACAATTAATTAAAGAAAAATTCTATTTTGATTAAGTTGTTCATTAAATTAAGGGAAAATTAAATTACGCTTTTTATAAATTTTTTTCTTGATGGAAAAGCTTAATATTTCTTTTTTGAAAATAAAAATGAAAAAGGAAATGTGAATAATTTTTCTGTCTTTTCAAATTTTCATTAACTATTTAATTTACTGGGTGGCTCTCATGCTTGCGACCTCTGGTCTTAATGAGAGTCTCCGAGATACTTCAATTTCAATTTTCTTCTATACTTTTTGTACACGGCATGTTTATTTGTAGGGCGTCATCAAAGACAAAAGGTGGTATGTTAGAAGTTTTCGGTAGGAGCCCAAATTGAATCACTGCGTATATTAGTAGCTTAGCTGCCCTCAAGAAATGCTGATATCTATGGACTTCTTTAGGAAGAGAATAATTACTACTCTTATTTTTATTACAGATACAAACACAGGCCTTTTAGTATTTGCTTGATGATTTAGTATCTATCAGGTACTCATTCATAATCACGTAAAGATTTAATTACAGAACAGCATTTAACACAACTCTGTTTAAGTTTACAGTTCACAATACAAATTGCTTATGTATATCAGTGATGGCAGAATGATTAGATTACCTCTGCATAGTACTCAAATTTGTACTCCAATCATAATCAATCAATGTCATCTATTTTGACCTTTTGTGACCTTTAACTGCGTGCGCTGTCCACCAGCATGAGAATGTACAGGAACAGGTTGATTATGTCAAGATACAGGTTGAGGGCAGCAAATATGTACTCTTCAGGAGACAGCGAGTATTTGTGGTTTCCTCCCATCATTAGCTGAGTATCCACAACAATGTACTGTAAAATGAACCAAACCATGATTATCTTAATAACTTTTGTGTCGTCTGTGCATTTAGTGTCTACAAGTGGTGGGGTTTGAATCCTGGCAGTACATGTGATTTGACTGCACAGTATCAATTTCCATGATAAAAGTGAGATTTGCACATATTTGGAAATAATGATTTTGGAGCTTGTGCCATATTTCAACAAAACAATGTATGGGGCAGTGTATATTGGGAAGTGAAAATGCATGAGGCACTGCATATTGGGATGTGAGAATGTATGAGCATTGCATATTGGGATGCAAGAATGCATGGGGCATTGCATACTGGGATGTGACAATACATGGGGCTTCGCATATTGGGATGTGAGAATACATGGAGCATTGTATATTGGGATGTGACAGTGCATAAGGCAATGCATATTGGGATGTGGGAATGCATGAAGCACTCCATATTGGGATGTGAGAATGCATGGGGCATTGAATATTGGAATGTGAGATTGAATGAGGCATTGCATATTGGGATGTGAGAATGCATGAGGCATTTCATATTAGGATGTGAGATTGAATGAAGCATTGCATGTTGGGATGTGAGAATAATGCACGAGGCATTGCATATTGGGAGAATGCATGAGGCATTGGATATTGGGATATGAGAATGCATGAGCCAACTAAGTGGCCAAAAATGATAAAATTACCAAGAAAAGATAATTTACGGAAATGTGCTGCTGAATAATTGCTTTAGGTTTAAAAAAGAAGATAAAGGGTCTTGAATTACTCCAGCAAAAGGTCAGGACAAACAGGTTTGGAAAATCAATTATCCAATCAGCTGTCCGCAATTAATAATTACAATACCACTCAATCTCGTACAACTCACCATTGTTATGTATTCATTGAATATTTATTGACTTTTTAAAAATTTACCTAAATATTTTGTGTATATCTCTTGGCTGTATTCCATCTATACTGCTGTGACAATATTATGCTGTATTCTATCACAAACAACTTAGATAAATAAATTTTACTTACAATACCAAATATCAAAGCTCCAAGACTTGCATAAACGATATCCAATACCTGGTAAAAGAATATAGATTAAAAATATGATTACAATACTACTTCAATCTATGTGAATGTTGTGTAACAGTAAAACAAGTATCTACACACACAAATCTTCATCATACTGCCTTGAAACCATGTGTAACTGTCTTTGAGTTTGCTTGTTTTCAAACTTAGTGTAACACATATTATTATTATTTTATTTAACCATTCCTTGAATTTGAACAAATGGTAATCAGTGAATAGCAAGCAATACCAGTGTTATATATTACTAAACTTTTAAATCAATGAAAATATTATATTATATTATTATGAAATTCTTGGTGGCATGGAATGTATGCTGTTCAGAAGGATTAGTGATATTCAATTGCACTGCTGTTGGTAATAATATTCTGTACAGCAATGTATGTTGGTTGGAATGGTTCCAAAAGAGGTTTATGTACAATAAAAGATGATTATGACAAAACATGATGGGATCGATAAATACTATCTGGTGCTTTGCTGTACATGCTCCAAGTGGCATTTGCATATGTATGTTACAAAAGCAACAGTTAATACATACCCTATTTTGGAAGATGATGGCAAAGAACCCAAACAAAATCAGGCAAATAAGCGCCACAAACAAGACTCCAGTAAGCATAGTAAAGTCGATCTAAATAGAAACACAATCATCTCTTCTAATAATATTGATAAATTTGAATAAGAATAACCTATTCAATAACTGGTAATGTGGTAATGATAAATACAGATAATGTTGCATGATAAGATCAAATAGAATTACCAGTAGTCTATTGGAAATGGCAGATAACTAATTATTTAAAAATTATTATATTATACTTAAAGCAATACCCAAGATTTCAAGAATTAACTGATAGCTTTTTTCCCATCAGCTATCACGGATCTAAATGAAAAAAATCTTTAGAAACATATGGGAATAAAAGGACATATGCAAGCATTAGGCCTTAATAATATAAATCATTTATAAGTGCCAATTCCAAATAAAAGAAAGGTGAACAACCCTTCCCCAGGAAGTGTTACATTGGGGAATGCAAGAATTACACCCTAGAGGGAATGTTCATTCTTAATCCTGGATTTACATATATATTACAGTGCATTACTATTATTATTATTAAAAGAAATTCTTTTTAACTTACCTTAGTCTGGAAAGCAAACGCTGTGAGGGCCAAGACGATAATCTATGAATGCAAAGAATATTCACATAATTATATTAGCCAATTAAAACTATATTTAGTTCACATTTATATAAATATTATTATTGTAATAAAGTTACATACTGTACATCCAATTGATAATAATCACTAAAACAATTAAGTATTGCCAGAATACATACATTTTTGGTGTAAGCATGCTGATTTCACTATGGAAATTGTTAAAAATTAACAGTCACGGATGAAATTTTCTCAACACTTAAAAACAGTTTCCTTTTTATATTCTCAAGCTGATGATATTTTAGTAATAAGGAAATAAAGACAAATGGCCAAAATGATGGCAAGCCATAATGAACCATGTAAACTTACGGCTGTTATGCCAACGGCAATGAGTACAGTGTCAGTTTTATAGGTCGCACAAGCCATGCCCAATAGAACACCTTCACAAACAGTCTGGTGGAAAGACAACATAGCGGAAATTATTGTTATTGATGTGCCAGAGGATGATATAGCAAAATGAATGATGTTGTATGAATGAAAATGTGGGGAGAGGATGGTGCCACAGAGGGATTTGGTGAAGAGATGATATAGCAGAGTGAATGATGTTGTATGAATGAAAATGTGGGGAAGAGAATGAAGTGGCAGAGGGAATGATGTGGTAGTGAGGATGATATACTGTAGCAGAGTGAATGATGTATGAATGAACATGCAGGGAAGAGAATGAAGTGGCAGAGGGAATGATGTGGTGGTGAGGATGATATAGCAGAGTGAATGATGTATGAATGAACATGCAGGGAAGAGAATGAAGTGGCAGAGGGAATGATGTGGTGGTAAGGATGATATAGCAGAGTGAATGATGTATGAATGAAAATGTGAGGAAGAGAATGAAGTGGCAGAGGGAATGATGTGGTGGTGAGGATGATATAGCAGAGTGAATGATGTATGAATGAAAATGTGAGGAAGAGAATGAAGTGGCAGAGGGAATGATGTGTTGGTGAGGATGATATACTGTAGCAGAGTGAACGATGTTGTATGAATGAAAATGTGCGGAAGAGAATGATATGGCAGAGGAAATGATGTGGGGGAGAGGATGATATTAGTGGGGAGGATGATGTGGCAGAGGGAATGATGTACGAATAAAATGTGGGGAAGAGGATAATGCGGCAGAGGGAATGATGTGGTATGAGTAAAATTTTGGGGAAGAGGATAATGTTGAGGAGGGAATTATGTTGTATGAATGACATTGTGGGGAAGGCGATGATGTGACACAGGGAATGATATTATATGAATCAAATCGTGGGGAAGGTGATGATGTATAAATGAAAATTTGGTGGAGAAAATGAAGTGGCAGATATCAATACTGTACCACATCTTTGAATATTCACTATCTTTTAACGATTCTTTTTATACTTACAAATATCCCCAATAAAATTATGTTAATTGGAGAGGCTCTCCTGACATCAGGGCAACAAGATAACACTATGATTACTACCAAGGTTACAGCACTGCAATAGGAGGGAAAGTTATAAACATGAAGTAACAAGAAAAACAAAACTCTCAATAGTAATCATCCTCTTCCTTCATTGTCTATATTCTAACATATAATTATTATTTTTGATATTAATAAACCGATTCCATGAGGTTTGTTTACAGCAGATCATGTGACATATAGTGGTTATAACTTTGGAGAACACACAGTGTAATCAGTGTAAAAGTATAGGAAAAAAAATTGTTGTGGTAGGAAAAGGAAATGTTATGGTTGGAAAAGGAAATGTTATGGTTGCAAAAGCAACCGCTCACTATTAAGGTGTGAAATAACTGGCAAGGAAAGGCACTATGATTGTTCAAAATAGTGTTAACATATTCTAGCATACTCTGTGTTTTGTATGCTCTGGAATTTACTTGATTCTTTGTAAACCTTAGCTAGCCTAGAAATTGTAGCTTGTCAAAATTGCAGTTCGCGGATCGAAAACTCTTGTGCATACCTAACAGGCCATAAATATGCAGGAGCCTAGGCCTAGTATTTCTCGAAAAATCTCAATATTTGGGGGACAATACCTTTTGAAGCATTAGCAAACCATTAAGGCAAAATTCTCAAGTTCAATTTCCAATCAATTTGGTATAGTTTACTGGCATTCCAACCAACATTATTCAACATCAAATATGTGCTCTACAGCAGAAACACTCGGAAGAAGCCACACATATTCTTATTACCGAGCGTCACTCGTACTGCATGTTTACAATATATACTTGCTATACATCACATGACCTACCTAGTGGAATTGGTCTACTACTGAATATTATAGGTCTCCCTCCAATTAATTACCACTTTTTTGGACCAGGGTTTCAATGGTCTTAGCAGCTTTGGTCTCTAATGAGAATAAAGGTAAAAATGATTTGCTAATTTGGGACCACAGAAAAAAGGTTTTTAATTGGAGGTGGTCTTTGATTGGAGGGGTCTTTAATTAGAGGAAGACCTGTATTTATAATCAAAAGGTAATCAGCAAAACAAAGAGTATATAGGTCATTGCTGTACCTTCATTTTAGGCCCACAGTCAACCTCTGGTAATTGAGGGACTCTTTTACATTACAATTATTCAGAGATTCTACAATTTGTATGATCATGAATGCAGATGTAAAAACACCAGCTCTGTAAAATAATTATCTTCTTTTACTGGTTTAGCTTAAGACTTCATACTACTGTTTTCACATAAACTTGAGATGGAGTTGAAACATTGTTTTGTGTTAGATAAACCAACTACTGCACTAGCAGGTTTATTAGCCCATAAGCAACTATCCAGTTAACCAGGTATGGGTGACTATCCAGGGTAGATTAAGTCAGCAACTATTGCTTTATGCATATAAAATATGGCAGATAAAACATTTTAATAATATGCTTTATACATTTAAATGCAAATTTTTGTTTTAACTGGTTTATTAATAGAATGCAAAATTGTAAAATCATGTAAGGAAAAAATATAAGTGTTGTTTCATGATGGATATAGTACAGCTTACCACTTGCACTCTTTTGTAAACTGCATACTGTACTAGCCAAATATTAAAGTTATTACAATGCGACTTGTTCCAATTTTTAGCACTTTTTTACACACCAACTAGCACAAGCTAATAATATACTGGATTGGATTGGATTGATTTCAACTTAATACAAGCACAAGATCAGACAGAAATGAAAAACAACATAATAGAGAACTGCAGGAAAACCATTTAAGCATTTCTGCTTGTTTCCAAAGGAGTCCTTGTGAAAGATAGATTCTGATCGACATTAAATTGATCATTAGTAGATAAAATAACAGATGTTCTATCTGATCAATATTAAGCAATTAGAATAGTTGCATATCAGATACTATGGACATTCTTTTTAATAAAATTTAGATTAATGCATGAAAAAAATGTTGCACATGAACTGAAAAAAGGTCAAGTAAACTGTCCACTAATAAAAAATTAATGCAAAGTTTGGGAGGGAAATAACATTGGGAGTTACAGTGATGAAGTCATGATTGACTTATTGAGAAGCTTTCGATTGCAAAACAATGGTAGGACGTAGAACGTAATGATGTCACTAAGTCATCTGCACATGTGAGAATGTTATTAAGTTCTCTTCATCGCGTTGATTCTAGGACGTAATTTGGCCAAATCTATGTAGTGCAAAGAATGTAGGACGATCGGTTTCAGCGTCACCTCGTCAAACAAATCGAAAGCTTCCTATAATAATTTATAGAGTAATGGAAATGTATGTATTTGTGGTAAACAACCATAAGATTTAAACATAACATACAATGATTACTGACTACACCTGAATGGTTGAAGCCAGTCACTCACTGCATCGTACGACGGTTGTAAAGCCGTCAGCCGACAAATCTAATATCGGTCCCAGTGAGTGGCGTCTGCTGAGTGTCGCTGACAGTCTGAACGGATCACTATTAAAAATGATACATTGTGCGCACATTATCGTATTGCGTTCTCCCTAGAATCATGTTAGGCCGATGAACATCGGGGGCAGTAAGTGGACAGCTTTATAAATGAAATAGCTAGTATACTTACAAACATAACCAGAATGGCCATACATTTGTCAATGCATATTCTTTTACACCAGAACTGTAAAATAAAAAAAAAATACTGTATAATAATTAGCCTGTTTCATATAATTTCTATGAAATTATAGCTAGAGAACTGGAAGACTTGCAGTGTGTACATCCATTGTGCTTGGTTTCAATTAAAACCGTTCTACAGTTAATAATAAGCACTTTATGCAACAGGAGAGGAAGATGGGTGGATGGTGGTTCTGTGCTCATCAGAGCGTGCAGACCACAGTAAACACTTGGGTGAATTGACGGCTCCCCGTTCTCTTGCGTAAACTGCCTAATAATAGAGAACTTTTGATTAGCACGATGACGTAACTCTAGAACAGATCGTTCATAACATACGTTTGAGTGGTACGTATGTATGTTTAGGTCAAAGGTCACCGCAAATTTAACCCAACCTTGATTTTATGAATCCCCGATTTACATACGCTCTCCGGTCCCATACCGTATACCGTACGTAAAATCGATGTTCTACTGTATTATTAATCTAATTAGAGACCAAAGCAAAGGGTTTAGAATTGCAAGATGTCCGACGTCCCTGACTTTGTATGCACGCATTGAAACGTTAAAAAGGGTACTACCACGAGATAAGGGTGCTCTATTTACGAACACCTTGTTCTATTTTTAAGGACGCCCTCTAGTTCGTGATAGTACCTTTTTTGAGATAGAATTTGCATTCCAATGAAACCCAGAAAGTTGGACCTCTTGCAGTTCTTTACTCTTTGACCCTAGCTGCTGAAGATCATGGAAATCCCAATCGCAAAAATGGAGGGAGACCTTTACTTCATTCATCCTGCGTCAAAAACACGGAAATTGGTTTGATGATACACTCTGTTTTACATAAGACTTTCATTACTGAAATATTTCAGATCATTGACAAATGGAAATGTTGGCTACTCTATCATGCGAAATTATGATAAACAAATTGGCAAAGTGAATTTACACACTATTATTCAACAATCATCTCTCATCTATGACTTTCAAAGAATTTTCACATAATGTCTTTTATTTCAGGGAAAACTCAAAGCAAGTACTGAAAAAAATGGCTAACAATTTACAAACTTGCTTTCAATTTTGTAACTATTTCATATTTGTAACTAATTTGTAACTATTTAACCCATTTTTCGATAAATTCTAAGTGCAATAAAAATCCATCAGTACACATCAACTTACCTGAAAGTGAAGATGCTCATAATCCCAATTGTAACAACCAACTGAGCACACAGAATGCTATAGACCTTGCGAATAAATGCTGCAATAAGTAAACAACATTGTCACATTTCATGTTTGTCTTCTCAGTTTGGCCTACATGTACTAGAAATTTACCAATACTGTTGTATACACCAGTGCTTCCCAAATTTCTTTCCAAATGGATAGGCCTAGATAGAAGCCCTTTCCTGAAGCAGTTTTTCATTAAATTAACCTATTTTTGGCATTACTTTTGATTATTTATGGGTGAATATTAGTTAACTAAATATAGGATTTTTAAATAAACACTATAATGATAGATTTCTTGTTCTTCCATTGACTAAATAAACATGATTACTTTTATATGTTCACTGAAAAATATTGTCAGCTCATTTTTGGGTTGTGCCCACAGTTTGAAGCACTAATCAACTCCATTTCTATCTTCCTACTGTTACTGTATGTCTGTTGGACTTAAATCTGATCAAATACTCTTGGTGTATACTTATTTCATGACATCAGCAGCTTTCTGGTGGAGTACACGCTCCACCAAAGTTAATCACAATTTACTATTCCAAATATAATTACATTCTTGAGAAGGTGCCTTCCTCTAAGCCACACCCCTTGGATAGTGTTGCTACCATCCCACAAAACGACAGCATAACCAATCGTGACTGTAGTACGAAAATATGTATGTTTGTGGGCATGGCTGGAAAAGGTGAGCAACCCCACGACCAACGGATGGAAGCATTATGAATGTCCTGGGAAAATATTTTGTGGAAAAAATGAAAAAAAAACAAACTGTTGGGTTATATACTTTACAGATAACATTTGATGCTGAGGAAATTATCGAGACAGTTTTCACGGTCGAAGGCACAAATTCCAGGCCTGTTTGTGGGACAAGCATGTATTTCTTTCCTTTCTGGTGTTTCTGTATTTTATTGTTAAATATGATTGGCACTCCAGAGAATCCATTACACTTACATTTACGGATATTTTGATCACTGAATTCAAATCCTCCTTCATCCAAGAGTCCATCTTCCAAACCCATTGTTAGATTATATATCTATTTGCAAAATGCAAGATAAGGATTAACTCTGAAAAGAGAAAGCAATACCGCTAGTGATTAGCTACATATAATATTTTTTTGTATAAGTAAAAACACCACAATGCACTTTATAAAGCAAGTAATAGACTTTAATCGTGATCGTGAACTCATTGAGCTGATTTTGACAATAAAAATTGAATTGAATAGCGTTGGAAGTGGTTTGGTGCCACGGGTCGGGGTTTCAATTCCTCAATGTGCGTTTCACTAATTGTGTCCTTGGGCAAGGCACTTTATCTGCATTGCTTTTCTCCACCCAGGAGTATAAGTGGATACCTGGTAGGGATAAATGCCAAAATGTGCTGATGTAGGTGCTGCAACGTTATGGAATACTCCCCCAGGGTTGTATTTCATAGGCGTGTAATCCAATGACCGGGGTAATAATAACGTGAAGCGCATAGAGGGCTTAACAATATGCGCTATATTTTTTTTGTGATGCAAACCATTTCAGCCCCGGCTGCTGTTTGTAATTGTTTTATTTTTTTATACCTGAATCAATCTTCTTAATAGTTTGCTCTAAATTTCTAATGTTTTTGCAACAGTCTGTTTTTCTTTCAATTTTCCTTTTCCATTTATTTTAAAATGTCTGTCACAATAATGTTGCACACTTTTTATTGTATTTTTTGCATTTGATATGATTTTTACATATTAATTGAATTTTTTTTAATTGTTTTTTTTTAATTTTTAATTTTTTTAATTTTTTATTTATTGTATTTTTTTCATTTGATATGATTTTTACGTATTAATTGAATTTTTTTTATAATTTTTTATATTTTTTTATTTTATATTTTTTTATTCTTTATTTTTTATCTTTAGCAATTTTAATGTTTCTGATTAATAGCTCATTTTTGTAATTAAGATATATTTCTACATGATGTTCCACACTTTATTATACAAATAATGAATGTTTATGAGTGCAATGGGGTAGAAAATTTCATGAGGAGAAAGATTGGATGTTCTATTCAATGAGGCGTAGCCCAGTTGAATAGAACATGCATGCATCTTTTTCACCTCATGAAATATTCTACCCCACTGTACGAATGAGAAACATTCATTATTTGTTTTATACAAAACCTCTGCATCTCTGTGAGGCTATTTCTCTCTCTCGCTCACGTCGCGTTCTATTTGAGATTTTTGTCATCTTGGAGATGAAAAAGTACTATTCAACAATCGTTGCCTAGTACTCAAATAACCATGGAATAGTAATTTTAAATCAATCTCATGCAACCTGTTTTCAACCAATCAAATTAATAGAATATAATCAGTTGTTGTATAAATTCTTATATTCCGTAATCAATTTAAAAAATAATTATAGCAATAGTGATCAAATTGTCATGTCAGTTTCCAAAATAGTTTGCTTTGAATTTCACTTTTTGTGCAATACTTTTCAGTTCCGCCATCTTAATGGGTTTGATAATTTTTTTCAATGCTTCAATTTCTGTGGTGTTTTTAAAATTTTCTCTGTTGCACTTTAAGAAAACAATTTAATTACGCATTTTTATAATATTGTAAACTTCTAGCAATTCAGTATTTTACTACCAGTTCAAGTGAAAAAAGAAATCAGAATCTGAAATGTGAATCTGGAAATTATCACTACATAGCATCATGAACAATACACTGTACACTAGTTACTGCAGAAGTAGATTAGTTACCCTTTAAAAATAGATAATTACTCAATCCACAAACAACCTGTTTACATAGTGGTGCAGTTTTTAGCTGCAACACTTCTCAATTTGACCTTATAAAACTGAGGTCAAACTACAGTAATGACGTCAGTAAAATCAAATTTTAAAACTAGCTGACCATTCAGAGTAATAAAGTTTTCAATCATCAGTATCTGGGGGGAGTTTAAGTGTACAAAATCAGACATATTTTTAATTTACTATTTGTTTTCATCCCAAATGAGGCTTTAAAAAGGAAGTCAATTCTAGGTACATGGTTGTTATTTATATTATTTTTTTCATTTCTAAGTCATGAAATGCTTGCACCATACTGTAGGGCTGAAGTGAAGCACACTAATAAATCATTTTGCAGGTCCACAATGTATTTTTATTGATCAGGAAATTCCCAGGAAAATTTTACACAGCTGAACTTTTGAAAGCAAGGTATAAAAAGGAGAAATAAATAATAAAATACAGCATGTCAAGTTATAAAAGTTATCATTTTGGATCACATAAATACTTAAAGTAAATTAAAAATAGATGAAACCTTCTTTTGACATAATTCTAGTTAAGATTACCTCTCCGACCGACAAACATCTGTTTTGGAGTAAAAATTCAGTTGCGACATGGTCCATATGTTTGAAAATAAGTTGCAGTAGATAATAGATAAAATTAACATGTTCATAATATACACTACTCAGTATTTCCCGATGTAACCAACAGGTTTATGTTTTTAGAACACACCTTTGAATGTGTGAATATAAATGAACCGTTAACATATAAAAGAGGGATCAATAGTGTTTATGAAACTTGGACTCTGAATAAAGCTAATTAATTTTACTTCAGTAAACACTATGGATTAATAGAATCCATGACAACATAATATACTGTACAATGAAAACAATAAACTGAAGGGAAAAAACCACTTACCTAATTGAGTTTAAATTAGATAACAACACAGCTTTTAATCAATACGGTTTTAACTGTTTTCAAATGAGTTTACGGCTGTACTACAGTTGATCTGAAAGAATAAGTGTTAACATCCCATTAGCTGAAATCAGGAAACACAGGTTTAAAATCTCGTGTTAAGGTTTTAGATCGGAGATGATGAGAGTCTAGGTGGGCATAAAAATCGGTTGGAGGGCCAAAGTGAATTTCTGATTTAACACAGAGGGCCGCACCCAAACTTTGACGCTGCCGATGTGCTTCCAAAAACCTCCAAACACTGTTTTTACACTACTTTACTCCATTTACTTTTAAACAGTTTATTACTTTTGACATATGATCAGTGTCGGGCCATAAAAAACAAGTTTTCTAGCTAAACACATAGGGTTTTTAATTTATTTTCGAGGGCCGCTAAAAAATCGCTGTCAGGCGCATTCGGCCCACAGGCTGCACTTTGCCGACCTGTGGACTAGGAAAACGCTAATTATTTTATAAGGCCTATGATATACGGAATAACCTGCAAGAATATGAACAATATATTAAGATTTGCAACATGATCAGCATTTTTTACTGTGGTAACATCAATGAAAGCCAAGGGTCCCAAGTTGGAACTTGAAGAAGTCATTTCCAGGAGATCTGCTTAAACAAACCTTCTTAGCACATCTACTGTAATTATGTTTTAACTTATGGTGATAACAAACGACAGACTGCTGTGAGACAAACGCAATAAAGGGGTAATAACAGTAATACAACATGTAAATTTAATAAATTTGAGGAAGATAGATTATTTGCAGGAGTGCGGGAGGACGTTCTGATTCCTGGGAGACTCGCATGGCCTGCGGGAAACTTGGGACAACTGGAAAGCTCACAGTAAGTTTTAAACATCCATTGTGGTTGGTTTATTATCGATTAAAACAGTTCTACAGCTTTAAGAACACTTCCTGCAACAACGGAAAGACAAACTTGATGACAATAACAATTAGCATTCAAACATTATGAATATAAAAGCAAGTAAAGCAAAGTAGCACCTTGAAACTACTGGTAGTTTAATTTCTAATTATTCACACAAGAAGAATGTTCACTCACACGATAAAAAAAATCTCAACCATTCTCAAAATGCTACTTCGATTTTACACTTACTGTTTATTTTTAGTATAATTGGCTAGTTCAGCTCACAGTATTTTTATCTTATGCACACATGCTTCAATGATCTCAAACCCCGATTACTTGTTGTCTAAACCAGGCACCCACTGTGCCCGACGTGATTCTATGGAGAACACAACGCTGAGAGGTGCGCGCAGCGAATCGTTTTTAATGACGATCCGTTTAGACTCCCACTGACAGTCTAGTAGGCACATCAACTTGTTCTAGAATGTGTGTTGAAACAGACTGACATTGCAGTTAACAATAGAGCAATGAAAACTACCACTCCACTAAAAAAAGGTTTGATAAAGCTCTTTTCAATATAATCTCAATGCAATACAATATGCTATTGTAATCAGTGTGCATGTTATCACATGTGACAATGTGATTCTTAAGCTGAAACGGATCCACCATATTTTATGAAAACTGTTGCTTGAATTTTCTTGGAATACTTTTAAATAGTATAATGTACAATGGGTTAATTGGACGTACTAATGTGTAATACAGTATTAGGTAGCTAGGTGTACTGCTACGTTTTTGTCATTATTCAATGGCCTACTCCGTTTATTTAATTATTTAAAATATTATTAATTACTATTTTATAAATTCTAATAATAATGATAAAATATTCATGTAGACCTATATTAATAACATCCTGCAACGATATCTTGTTCACGTGAAGCACAGCTGTATGCCCGAGGCGAAACAACTGTTAATTTGACAGCCTGGCCCGATATTGTGTTGACGCGAGTACTACGGTTCAAAACCGAGGAGATGTTGTAGATTTTATGTGACATAAATAACTCGCAAAACATGGCCGCGAAAGTACACATTTTAGGTGGTTTTTGACAGTTTTTTTTCGAACTTGTCATCCAATATCCAGCCTAGAAAAGTAGCCTATCATGTTCGTGACATGCGGAAAAGTTTTGATGGGTCGCATAACCTCTTCATACCGTGAAAACTTTACATAATATGAATGAGGACAAACAAAATCAAATTACAGTAAACGAAAGTGCACTTAAAGTGTGGCATGTCCATCGGTTTACTTTTGTAATGTGTGCTATATCAAAGTTTCATGTTAAAAAAAAATACACTATCAAAACATTTGTACTTCAGATATGTCAACCTAAAAGTTTTACAGTAGTTTTGTTCATTTCAATGTGTATGACTTCTACCTGAAAATCATTTCTAACAAGAAAACATTTTTCTATTCAATTAAATATGTCTGTGTCTTCACATAATCCATTAATCACTGTTCTACAACTTATGGGTCACGACCTAATGTTTGAGTCGTGGAAAAAATTAGATAGGTCGCATAACCTCTTTAGATCATGAAAAAAATTACTTATTGTGAATGAGGACAAACAAAATTAAATTAAAGTAAACAAATGTGCAATTAAAGTGTGGCATATGCGTCAGTTTAATTTTGTAATCTGTGCATTATCAAAGTTTCGTGTTAAAACAAGAAATATTTCCTATAAAAAAACGCCGCAACTTCTGTAGCTTATTCAATTTGTGTATACAGCTACAGTACTTCCAAATTTTATCCTATGTGTAAATATTGTTATCATATTTAAGTTAGCTGTTTCAATAAATAAATCTGCAACTGTATTTTCCTATAGATCAATAAATATAGCCCTATGCTTATTTATTGTTAAGGATAGGCCTAATTTTTTAAGGACATTATTTGGTAAATGCGCATGTGCATTGCTTAGTTTGGAATTCCCATTTTTTCGAAGAAAAAACTACCGCTACCTACAGTTTCTTAACAACTATTTCCTCTTGATTGTTACAGCCCAAAGGTACGGCGCAAAAAATATTATATTATCAAAACATTTGTACTTCAGCTATGACAACCTGAAAGTGTTAGTTTTGTTCATTTCAACTGTGTTTGGCTTTGAAAATGTTCCATCAAAATGTGTCTATGTCTTTGCAATAACTCATAGATTTCTGGCAACAAATCTAGGATTTTATGTATAGTAAAATGTATATCATCAATTTTTACAAAACTTTAACATATTTAAAAATTTGATAACTTAAGGTGTACATGGTTTTGTTAAATTAGTAATTCAAAGTTATATTTTAATTTTATGGGTATTAAATTGATTTTGTGGGTGATAGTATATTTTTCCAAAAGAATCAAATGGGTAGTATCTTCTAAAACCTGCTATCCCCTGTGTGAAAAAAAAAAAACGACGGACGTGATTTATCGGGTTCGATGGATTGCGTCTGAGTGCTTGACAAATAATTTGGGCTAAAAAGGTTGGGGAACGGGGCTCTAGATGATATGAACAGGGCTGGAAAAAGTGCACAACAGTGCGACAAGCAGTTGGAGGCATCGCGTATTCTCCCGGCAACATTATTTAAAAAACATTATTTTTCTCCTCACTTTTACTGAATATTATTAGGTTAACCCCTTGTATGAGGATGAACTGGGGATACAGCTCGGATTGGTTGGGGACGTTTAATGTTGTTGGTGACTGTTAATAGACCTTCATGTCTTTATTTCTTTGTGTAAGTGTAATGTGGGCGAAGTATCGTTTTCTGAATTGAGTTTTCCCCCCCATGTGAGCAAAACTAGATATTTTTTTTCGCCTCGTTACACCTAACCAAATATTGTTACCTGCCCGGGAGTCGTCCATACAACAACTCCCCACCTGGTAATAGTAATCCTGTAGGAGTATTACACCCAACATACAGTTAATGTACAGGCATAATCGTGATAAAATCACAGTATTTTTTTTATCAGCTATACAAAGTTTGTCAACTTAATAGTTTGGCAGACAATTGGTATTCTCTGTGTGATTTCACCTATCCTATATCCAACAAAAACCTGGGCTTTTAAAAACCTAAAAAGATTTCGCCTGTAAAATCTCGGGTCTATACTCATACAGTAATAAAACCAAGTCTCTGATATAAAGTTTTTATTTTTAATTTGCTATGTAATATTTAGCTAAACTAAGACTACCAACCTTTCTGCGTTTGTCGATTAGTTGGTAACAGATTTATTTCTAGCTCTGGGTGGGGTCACCCCTACTCCACATTGGCCCAGTGTTGTGTTTTAGCCATCACTTTATTGAAAAAATATTCTTCGAATGGTTATTAATTTTATTTTTTTTTATATTCTTTCTTATAATCTAATTTTTTCTCGCGGGCCAGAATAATTTGCTTCGCGGGCCAAATTTGGTCCGCAGGCCACCTATTAAGAACCAGGGCTTTATATACATCTCATTAATTAAGCCTTGGTTCTACCTGTAGTTAATTAAAGCTAAAACTCTATTCTATGTCACTACATAATCTACTACTACTACTATACTACTACTACTACCGTAGGCGTAGGGCCTAAATAGTTTGTTGAAATTTTCATACTCATTCATCCCAGCCTAGTCCTTTTTTTTTTATTAACAACATAGGGGAGGCATCCTACAACCTGAAAGTTATTTCTCTGCTGTGAATAAATGCCAAACATGCCAGATGTCCACAGTCCAAACTGCTGGGAATTTCCCAACTGGCACTGAATGAATAGGCTGCCGCTCTAGATAGCCTGGGTAAGCTATAGCAATACTTTATTTAGGCTAGTCTGCAGACGTAGGCCCTAGGCCTAGCTTAAACAGCCTGGCTCCATCTAACATAAATTTACAAAGCTTAAATTCAGATCAATCCTAAACGTCTCGTGAATCGTATCTAAGTATATGGAGTACTTACTGAATCTTGAAAGGATGACGATGGACAGACAGAGTACTATATTTAAATTCGACTGCTGCTCTTGCAAAAATTACTATTTATAGTTTTATACTGTAACTCTTTGCTATTTACTTATGAGCAAAGATATTATGAGACCTACCAAACCATGACATCATCAACATAAACAGCACTGTCGGGGTGCTCATGCGCGCATCGCATTACTCAGCTCCGTAAGTTTGACATCCAATCATAGAGATATAATAAGAATACATCCAATACAATCATTATTTCATTCATTTCATTTATTTATTCGACCAATACACATTTACAAAAGGTACAGTACAACAAAAAATTTAGTTAGGGGCAGCTTAAGCAAAATGTTACTATAAATCATTGAGACTAGGCAGCTGCCCCATAAATATAAAAATAAAAGAACATTTAAATACAATACAATAAATAGCATAAATAGACCTATCATAATTCAAAAATTATGATTATTATAGGCCTACAAAAGCAATTAATATTGATATTATTATTATTATTATTATTATTATTAATATTATTATTATTATTATTATTATTATTAAATTCTTTTTCTAATATGTTTTCCAGATTTTTACAATACTCAGTGGCGGATCTAGGATTTTGTGGGGGATGGATAGCAGGGGCGGATCCAGCGGGGAGGGGGAATGAGCAGGGGTGGCGCCAGAGGGGGATATAGCCCCCCCCCCCTTCGGGGAGGACGATAATTTTGTCGGTGAACAAACAAATAAAAAAAAATATTTACATGTAATATTCGTTTAGCCACCATATCGTTTGTGTTAATTTTTCATCACAACAACCACAATAACAACAATAATAATAATAATAATAATAATAATAATAATAATAATAATAATAATAATAATGATAATAATAATAATAATAATTGAATGAGACTAATTAAAAATAATTTGCGTTCTGTTATGACAAATGCTCATTTAGATAGCCTCATGATGGTTGGAATACATCGTGATAGGTGAAGCAACCTCGACCATGACAACGTGGTTGACAGATTTCATGCAAAATTTCCAAAATATAGAATCTCACTTTCAAGAATGAGGATTTGATAATATATTAGATGGTTACATTGCATAGGCCTACTCTTTGTTTCTTGCTTTATTCAAAATGTTTTGGTTTTGGAAGCTGATGTCAACATTAGAAAGCATAGCCTACATGAAGTCATATTATAGTAACTCGATACCTATCAAATAAGTAAAAAAAATTCGCCATAATTCAGTGGCTATACAGCAGTGGGCGAAAGGAGAGCTTGATTATTTTACCAATTATTGGTGGGGCTGAGGTGGGCGTGGCGGCGTGAACATCATATTGTGCCCCCACCCCGTCAGAAAATATCTGGATCCGCCCCTGGATAGTGCGAGGTGAGCACCAAGGTGTTGGGGGAATGGGTGACGCAATGTGTTTTGAAACCTCTGGCCTATCACACGGAATCATCAAATTAAAGGTACGACGTAGTCTCTACTCTCTCTAATTAAAAACCCCTCCAATTAAAGACAGACCCGTATCCGGAGGGGGTGGGAGTTATGGTTCGGGAGAACCTTTTTCTGGCGAATCCCCCTCTTCAAATTTCCCAAAGAAATGTCCTCCCGGACCCAACTAATGCACTGCAGACCCGCCCATACAAAGACATTTTCAAACATATCTGCATATAGCATTATTTAGACCCATAAATCATAAAAATCCCCTTGCTTAGGGGCCTACTAAAGACCATATCTCCAAGCTCTATCTTCTTCAACTGACTTCGTTGTGTAAGAGTCATTATTCATTCAATTCATATAATTTGACCTCTAAATAATAAATGAGACACAAATCATTGTTTGCCTCAATATTTCGAAACAAAGATACGAAGCAATAAATTAGGCCAAGTATTTTGAAGTTCGTTCTTGCATATTTTTTCTATTGTTCTTGGGGTCTTCAGCTTTCGTTTTTAGACACTTCTCAAATCTCATGATCAACGAGAGAGGAGTGACACAACAGTCTGTGCAATTAACATGCAATTAACCTACCAGGTTTTAATATTCGTATCACACCTTTGAAACTATGCTCAGTAGGCCTAGATCTGACCGGATTGGAATTCAAAAGACACCTCATACACAAAATAGCTATCCCCGGGAGCCGCAGTCATGTGACGAATGACTTCATTACGGGAAAATCCCTTTCATAAAACGCGTCGCGTTTGATAATTTGATACAAATGTTTGTTGTACTCAATTTAGCTAATTTTCTATTAATAAATACCAAACACTAATATGAAAAATATATTTACATTTGTGTATTGTATGTGTATTTTTTAATTAATTTATAACAAAAAAACTCCTTAGTTTACAATAAATGAAGTCATGTGTCACACATTTGATGTCATGTGTCACTCATTAAGAATATCGCGAGTTGGTCAGGTGGTTTTGCGTGGCTAGTCAAGCGTCGGTGAGTTGTTTACATGATTTAGCAGAGATTTAAAACACTACAACATTACTAGAGCTATTTGGTTGTTTTGGAATTCCATTCGTGTCCTATAGTTATCGGTTGTTTATGGTAGGTCTCGCACTACCTAGGCATGTCATAGGCCTAGGCCTAGCCCTCTAACTAGCTAGGCCTAGCTAGTTCGGGCTCGGAAGTAAGCCAAGGGCCAGGCCAAGTCGAGGAGGCCTAGGCTAGCCTACAGTACCTGATGATAGAGAATCTAGCCCACCTTGCTAAAACAAGCAACACCTTGCTAAATTAGTTAGGTTTCTAGGTACTGTATTTATTTAAGGGTACAATAGGTTCCTAGCTGATGCTGTCTCCTGTCTGTGGTGTGCCCGTCATCAAATGTGCCATCGGCCGTTTCAGTCCTCCTCTGCAGCAATATATTTAACATCCAGAAAAAATGATGAAATTAAGTGTACTTTGTTTGTCTAAATTATTAGAATATACACTATTCTTGCTTTACACATTACCATTGAGAATTTTATGATTATGTTTGTTAATTTTAGAATTATGCTCGTTTCTTGTAGTTGTATGCTCTGCCTGGCCTAAGCTAGGCTTCCCTTGTCGGATTCAAACAAATAAAACATATTGTTTGCCTTTCCCACAGACCTTTTTAATAGTTTTAGTCAAGACGCATACTAATTATATAATTATCAATATTACAATATTTACCGTATTAGTTCAATGATTTGAATTGACTAAAACATTCAATCATACAAAATGTGTTCATGACACAAGGCTGAAGTATAATATGCAAAATAGTTTAATTCTTTTAACCATATTTTAATTTCTAACTGAAATAAAATTTGCTAGGTGATTAAATTCTGGGTTTTTATACACTGTAGCTTGATTTATACACAGTCACAGTTTTGATATTTAACCAAACTATTTTAATGCCTCCTTTTTTTATACCAGGGAGTTGTTATAGACTAACTCCCTGTTTATACTGATCATGACTCAAAGTTTTGATGAGTTTTTTTTTTTTTAAATCAATGCTGCTAAGAACGATTCTAATGTTATCAATGCAATTTGCACAGTTTTAAAAAGGTAAATAAATTTAATGCGTAAATTGGAATGTTGATGTGTTATTACTGTTTGCACTATATACTTTTCAATATAAAGTTTAATCTTTAGCCAATGAAATACTGGTATTTTTTTTATATTGTTCACTAAATGTAGTACTCTTAGCTGATAGTTAGCAGTCTAGATTTGTAACATTGGAGTGCGATGAATCAAGTCTCACTGAATCAATGGAATAGAAAATTATGATATGAGCCTAAAAGGTACCTTGATGTTGGGATAACAGATGTTTTTGAGAGAACTGTCAAGCAAATATATAATTTGTTATAAGTCTTGACATCTCTCTTATTCTACAAGAAATTTACCAACTTCAATTTCCCAGGTATAAATCTGCCTGTGTACTTCTGTATCCCATCCTCCCTAACTTTCCAAGAAAATTCCATACAAAAATTCTCTGCTCAGTTATAAACCCACCCTCGCCTTTAGAAAATGGAAATTCTACAAGCTTATGGTATTAATGTTTTGAAGGAATATCTTTGAACTTACAGCATACAGTAGCTGCAATGTTTTAGATGCTATCTTGGCTATCCTTTCTTAAACGCTGAAGCTACAGTAGTGCAGGTTATCATTGCTGTAAATTCTGAAATTACTATATTAATTATACTGATATTAAGCATTAATATGAGCTAACAGTGGTGGATTCAGGAATGGGGAAGCAGTCTGCCTGCCTTCCCCCCTCCCCCCTTAGTTGTTCAATTTTTTTTTTTTTATGTAGAAATAAAAAAAATTATATTCAAATTGTAAGTCTGAGAGTGCATTTTCCGGCAATCTAGGTGCCAAAATCACAAATTTTCTTACCTCAGCCCCAACCATGGTGGGGCTGAGGTGATATACATCCTCCATCTGTGAAAGAACCTCCCCGGGCCCCATCTATCTTTAATTCCTGGATCCGCCACTCGCTATGCTTAGCTCTGGCCGTTTAAGTATATAAACTTTATCTAGCATCTCGCTAAACATGCCCCACGCCCACCCCCCCCCCCCCCCTTTGGAAGAACCTGGCTACGGGCCTGAAAGACCACCATTCTGCAGTAGCCCCAAATTAATGTCTGTCTTCTATTATAAGAGATAATTTGTCTAATTAAAGATCAAAGATAGGGGCCTACTAAAGACCATAAATCTCCAAGCTCTATCTTCTTCAACTGACTTTGTTGTGTAAGAGTCATTATTCATGCAATTCATATAATTTGACCTCTAAATAATAAATGAGACACAAATCATTGTTTGCCTCAATATTTCGAAACAAAGATACGAAGCAATAAATTAGGCCAAGTATTTTGAAGTTCGTTCTTGCATATTTTTTCTATTGTTCTTGGGGTCTTCAGCTTTCGTTTTTAGACACTTCTCAAATCTCATGATCAACGAGAGAGGAGTGACACAACAGTCTGTGCAATTAACATGCAATTAACCTACCAGGTTTTAATATTCGTATCACACCTTTGAAACTATGCTCAGTAGGCCTAGATCTGACCGGATTGGAATTCAAAAGACACCTCATACACAAAATAGCTATCCCCGGGAGCCGCAGTCATGTGACGAATGATGACTTCATTACGGGAAAATCCCTTTCATAAAAGGCGTCGCGTTTGATAATTTGATACAAAAACAAATGTTTGTTGTACTCAATTTAGCTATTTTTTTTATTAATAAATACCAAACACTAAATATGAAAAATATATTTACATTTGTGTATTGTATGTGTATTTTTAAATTAATTTATAACAAAAAAACTCCTTAGCTTACAATAAATGAAGTCATGTGTCACACATTTTGATGTCATGTGTCACTCATTAAGAATATCGCGAGTTGGTCAGGTGGTTTTGCGTGGCTAGTCCGAGCGTCGGTGAGTTGTTTACATGATTTAGCAGCGATTTAAAACACTAGAACATTACTAAAGCTATTTGGTTGTTTTGGAATTCCATTCGTGTCCTATAGTTATCGGTTGTTTATAGTAGGTCTCGCACTACTTAGGCATGCAATAGGCCTAGGCCTAGCCCTCTAACTAGCTAGGCCTAGCTAGTTCGGGCTCGGTAGTAAGCCAATGCCAAGTCGAGGAGGCCTAGGCGTAGCCTACAGTACCTGATAGAGAATCTAGCCCACCTTGCTAAAACAAGCAACACCTTGCTAAATTAGTTAGGTTTCTAGGTACTGTATTTATTTAAAGGTACAATAGGTTCCTAGCTGATGCTGTCTTCTGTCTGTGGTGTGCCCATCATCTAATGTGCCATCGGCCGTTTCAGTCCTCTGCCGAAATATATTTAACATAAAAAAAAATGACGAAATTAAGTGTACTTTGTTTGTCTAAATTATTAGAATATACACTATTCTTGCTTTACACAATACCATTGAGAATTTTATGATTATGTTTGTTAATTTTAGAATTATGCTCGTTTCTTGTAGTTGTATGCTCTGCCTGGCCTAAGCTAGGCTTCCCTTGTCGGATTCAAACAAATAAAACATATTGTTTGCCTTTCCCACAGACCTTTTTAATAGTTTTAGTCAAGACGCATACTAATTATATAATTATCAATATTACAATATTTACCGTATTAGTTCAATGATTTGAATTGACTAAAACATTCAATCATACAAAATGTGTTCATGACACAAGGCTGAAGTATAATATGCAAAATAGTTTAATTCTTTTAACCATATTTTAATTTCTAACTGAAATAAAATTTGCTAGGTGATTAAATTCTGGGTTTCTATACACTGTAGCTTGATTTATACACAGTCACAGTTTTGATATTTAACCAAACTATTTTAATGCCTCCTTTTTTTTTATACCAGGGAGTTGTTATAGACTAACTCCCTGTTTATACTGATCATGACTCAAAGTTTTGATGAGTTTTTTTTTTTTAAATCAATGCTGCTAAGAACGATTCTAATGTTATCAATGCAATTTGCACAGTTTTAAAAAGGTAAATAAATTTAATGCGTAAATTGGAATGTTGATGTGTTATTACTGTTTGCACTATATACTTTCCAATATAAAGTTTAATGTTTAGCCAATGAAATACTGGTATTTTTTTTATATTGTTCACTAAATGTAATACTCTTAGCTGATAGTTAGCAGTCTAGATTTGTAAAGATGGGTATAAGAGACAGGCCCCACCGGGGGCCCTAGACTGCCCCGCTTGGCCCCCAGCCAAGTGAGACTCGATTCGCTCCACTAGCTCCCCTCTGTTGGGCAGGTCCTGGCGCCACCCCTGGGAATGAGGACCCGCACCCACCCCCTCTCCCTCAGTCAAGCCGAAAAATATAAAAAGAGGGTGACAAATTTGAGTTAAAGAGAGGAAGAGCTAAAAAAGTAGTGCACCCTTGAGTTCAGTGGCGATACAGCAGTGGGCGAAAGGAGAGCTTGACTATTTACCAATTATTGGTGGGGCTGAGGTGGGCGTGGCGGCGTGAACTTCATATTGTGCCCCCACCCCGTCAGAAAATATCTGGATCCGCCCCTGGATAGTGCGAGGTGAGCACCAAGGGGTTGGGGGAATGGGTGACGCAATGTGTTTTGAAACCTCTGGCCTATCACACGGAATCATCAAATTAAAGGTACGACGTAGTCCCTACTCTCTCTAATTAAAAACCCCTCCAATTAAAGACAGACCCGTATCCGGAGGGGGTGGGGTTATGGTTCGGGAGAACCCCCCTTTTCTAACAAACCCTCTTTTTCTGGCGAACCCCCCCCCCCCCTCCCACTCCCCCACCCACACACCCCCCCCCCCACCCCACCCCCCCCCCCCCACAACGAAAAAATAAATCTGTATAAGCTTAAAAAAAACAAAAAAAAAAAAAACATACCAACATGGCAAAAAAATGTTTCCTCCCGATTCTGGCTTTAAGTGTGGTTTTCTAGTCCTTCATGTACACTCCGATATTAAAGAGTCACCCCCCCCCCCCCCTTTGGAAGAACCTGGCTACGGGCCTGAAAGACCACCATTCTGCAGTAGCCCCAAATTAATGTCTGTCTTCTATTATAAGAGATAATTTGTCTAATTAAAGATCAAAGATAGGGGCCTACTAAAGACCATAAATCTCCAAGCTCTATCTTCTTCAACTGACTTTGTTGTGTAAGAGTCATTATTCATGCAATTCATATAATTTGACCTCTAAATAATAAATGAGACACAAATCATTGTTTGCCTCAATATTTCGAAACAAAGATACGAAGCAATAAATTAGGCCAAGTATTTTGAAGTTCGTTCTTGCATATTTTCTCTATTGTTCTCTTCAGCTTTCGTTTTTAGACACCTCTCAAATCTCATGATCAACGAGAGAGGAGTGACACAACAGTCTGTGCAATTAACATGCAATTAACCTACCAGTTTTTAATATTCGTATCACACCTTTGAAACTATGCTCAGTAGGCCTAGATCTGACCGGATTGGAATTCAAAAGACACCTCATACACAAAATAGCTATCCCCGGGAGCCGCAGTCATGTGACGAATGATGACTTCATTACGGGAAAATCCCTTTCATAAAAGGCGTCGCGTTTGATAATTTGATACAAAAACAAATGTTTGTTGTACTCAATTTAGCTATTTTTTTTATTAATAAATACCAAACACTAAATATGAAAAATATATTTACATTTGTGTATTGTATGTGTATTTTTAAATTAATTTATAACAAAAAAACTCCTTAGCTTACAATAAATGAAGTCATGTGTCACACATTTTGATGTCATGTGTCACTCATTAAGAATATCGCGAGTTGGTCAGGTGGTTTTGCGTGGCTAGTCCGAGCGTCGGTGAGTTGTTTACATGATTTAGCAGCGATTTAAAACACTAGAACATTACTAAAGCTATTTGGTTGTTTTGGAATTCCATTCGTGTCCTATAGTTATCGGTTGTTTATAGTAGGTCTCGCACTACTTAGGCATGCAATAGGCCTAGGCCTAGCCCTCTAACTAGCTAGGCCTAGCTAGTTCGGGCTCGGTAGTAAGCCAATGCCAAGTCGAGGAGGCCTAGGCGTAGCCTACAGTACCTGATAGAGAATCTAGCCCACCTTGCTAAAACAAGCAACACCTTGCTAAATTAGTTAGGTTTCTAGGTACTGTATTTATTTAAAGGTACAATAGGTTCCTAGCTGATGCTGTCTTCTGTCTGTGGTGTGCCCATCATCTAATGTGCCATCGGCCGTTTCAGTCCTCTGCCGAAATATATTTAACATAAAAAAAAATGACGAAATTAAGTGTACTTTGTTTGTCTAAATTATTAGAATATACACTATTCTTGCTTTACACAATACCATTGAGAATTTTATGATTATGTTTGTTAATTTTAGAATTATGCTCGTTTCTTGTAGTTGTATGCTCTGCCTGGCCTAAGCTAGGCTTCCCTTGTCGGATTCAAACAAATAAAACATATTGTTTGCCTTTCCCACAGACCTTTTTAATAGTTTTAGTAAAGACGCATACTAATTATATAATTATCAATTTTACAATATTTACCGTATTAGTTCAATGATTTGAAGTATAATATGCAAAATAGTTTAATTCTTTTAATCATATTTTAATTTCTAACTGAAATAAAATTTGCTAGGTGATTAAATTCTGGGTTTCTATACACTGTAGCTTGATTTATACACAGTCACAGTTTTGATATTTAACCAAACTATTTTAATGCCTCCTTTTTTTTTATACCAGGGAGTTGTTATAGACTAACTCCCTGTTTATACTGATCATGACTCAAAGTTTTGATGAGTTTTTTTTTTTTAAATCAATGCTGCTAAGAACGATTCTAATGTTATCAATGCAATTTGCACCGTTTTAAGAAGGTAAATAAATTTAATGCGTAAATTGGAATGTTGATGTGTTATTACTGTTTGCACTATATACTTTCCAATATAAAGTTTAATGTTTAGCCAATGAAATACTGGTATTTTTTTTATATTGTTCACTAAATGTAATACTCTTAGCTGATAGTTAGCAGTCTAGATTTGTAACATTGGAGTGCGAAGAATCAAGTCTCACTGAATCAATGGAATAGAAAATTATGATATGTGCCTAAAAGGTAAAAGGATGTTTTTGAGAGAACTGTCAAGCAAATATATAATTTGTTATAAGTCTTGACATCTCTCTTATTCTACAAGAAATTTACCAACTTCAATTTCCCAGGTATAAATCTGCCGGTGTACTTCTGTATCCCATCCTCCCTAACTTTCCAAGAAAATTCCATACAAAAATTCTCTGCTCAGTTATAAACCCACCCTCGCCTTTAGAGATTTAAAATGGAAATTCTACAAGCTTATGTATTAATGTTTTGAAGGAATATCTTTGAACTTTTACCAGGAACAAAAATTGATTGCATACAGTAGCTGCAATGTTTTAGATGCTATCTTGGCTATATCCTTTCTTAAACGCTGAAGCTAGTGCAGGTTATCATTGCTGTAAATTCTGAAATTACTTAAGTATATTAATTATACTGATATTAAGCATTAATGTGAGCTAACAGTGGTGGATTCAGGAAGGGGGAAGCAGTCTGCCTGCCTTCCCCCCTCCCCCCCCCCCCCCTCCCCCCTTAGTTGTTCAATTTTTTTTTTTTTAATGTAGAAATAAAAAATTTTTTATTCAAATTGTAAGTCTGAGAGTGCATTTTCCGGCAATCTAGGTGCCAAAATCACAAATTTTCTTACCTCAGGCCCAACCATGGTGGGGCTGAGGTGATATAGATCCTCCATCTATGAAAGAACCTCCCCGGGCCCCATCTATCTTGAATTCCTGGATCTGCCACTCGCTATGCTTAGCTCTGGCCGTTTAAGTATATAAACTTTATCTAGCATCTCGCTAAACATGGGACAGATTCCATGGGTGGTGGTTTATGCTGAGAGGAAATGTGGTAATTGTAAGTCTGGTAAAATATCCGATACTTCCTGAGCCCTTCGTGGAACAGGATGTAGGTGATCCTTTGTTTTACTGTTACACCACTCTAAATTCAAAAGATAATCCCTAAGTTTATTTTGTAAAACCATTGAAATCCATACTTTTGTGTACATTTAAATGCCACAGTAAAAATGATAAATACTTATGTAAATTTTGTGTGTAATTTTATATTATTTTAAGGTCGATAATCACCTTTTATCTTGATTTATCACAAAATCTGAAAACTACATATGGCAACAGGTCTATATTTTTAGCTTTTATCTTTTATAATGGCATCATAACATTCGTACTGTAAATATATCAGAAAATTTGGTTTGGTTGAATGTGGGACACAAGCATGCATAAAGCAAGACAATTTCATCAATTTAGAAATTTTGTACTATCATTTTCATCAGTGTTTCATCACTTTATATTTTTTACAACATTTTATAATAAAATAATATCATAACCAAAAGTGAAACCACTATTTTATTATTTCTATTCTATAGCATACCATACAGTAGATTAGATCAATATGAGGTAATTATTTGCATGAAGAACATATTTCATGGTTTTTCTTAAGCTGATCTACTGTAAGCTGATATCACAATATACACTATTCTTAACTTGAGTTTTTGCTAAATTATGTTTAAATATTACTATTTTACAGTCTTAAATTACCAATCCTGTAATCACAATATAATGTAAATTCTTAATGATAATTGACAATTATTCATATGTGTGCCTTAATTTGATTTATGAATTTAATTTTATTAAATTGTTTTGATTTAAATGTTCGGTTATGTGCTCAGAATCAGAATAACTTTATTGTCTCCAATGAAAACAATGATATTTTGACAAGTATACAGTGATTACTATATATAATCATTATTATTATTCTTATTTTTATGTTTATTTGTTATGTTCATGCTAAATAGAAATTAACTAATTATTACTTTTCTAAATTTTGAAAATAGCTGGGGGAACCTAATTGCAATGGCGTCGAGTTCAAACAGAGATTCATCGGCCCGAGCAGCAGCACATATTCTAATCAGTGGATCCCACAGCGGTGAATCTTCCTCCTATACAGCGTCAGGACGAAACCAACCAGAGTCAGCAAATGAGGCTGAAATGCGGTTTTCATCAGTGCGCAGAATGTTCTGCCTTTTTGTGACATTTGACTTGCTTTTTATTGGGACGATATGGATTCTTTACGTTAATGTAAGTGTTTTTATATATACTTTTCAATTGATTTTGAAGTCACATCATCTTCAATTAATATTCTCCACTACTACTGTGTCCTCACATTGAGCAATCAAAGCCCCACTGTACAGAGGTGGAACCTATGTTTTCGGGGGAAGGTTTACTGTTTTACTTTACTACTGTGGGGTCCAGGGGGCTACTGTATGTCGCTTTGAAGTTTTAGCCATTTTGATCTCTAAATAATATCACATTTGATTAGATATTTTTGGCTGCTCTCTAAGAGTGTCACTGTCACTGGTGATAAAAAGTATCTAAACCAACGGGAACTAAATAATATGCCTATATCATAATTTGGTTCCAAATGGGTTTTATGTAAATGATGAAAGTAATTAAGTCTAGAAAATTGATGTCTAGTAATTAGTTATACAATAAAGTTCTTGTTTTATTGACAATCTTTAATATCACACACAGATATGTGTATCCAGAATTCTAGGCCATACCATCTTGTTTCTTGTATACAGTACCTCACTGAGAATGCTAGAGAAAGCTATTAAATTACCACCCTAGCTTTGTAAGATGTACAATTCATGCCTGTAGCCAAGCAGGAACTACCAACTCATGGCTTAAGCATGTAGCATTTTGTCTGCTTAGGTAATGGTCATGATTTCTGTTATTCTTTCAGACAAGTGGTATAAGTGGAGGTTTAAAAGAAGCATTTTGTTGCCAGGTAAATGATTTCAGCATCCACACATCTATGTTTGATATCGTGCTATTGGCTGCTGGGCGTGTAATGTTGCTATTATTGGCCTATGCTCTCTTTCAGAGCAAGCATTGGTTCACAGTGGCGGTGAGTTCTAATTTACTTTTAAATATAACTTGCAATAGAATTGATTGATTGATTCATTCATTCATTCATTTCTTTTCCTTTTTTTTTCATTTGTGTTGTTTTTGGGAATATTTTCATTTGTTTTGTAAAATTTTTTTTATATCGGATGTGACATACAGTAGGTATGGACAGTGATAATGCAGTGGCGGATATAGGAATTCGAAATAGAGGGGACCCAAGAAGGGACTTTCACAGATATACCAACTCAGCCCCACCATGGTTGGGGCTGAGGTAAGAAAAATTATGATTACTTCACCTAATGGCCGGAAATTGCAATCTCAGACTTAAATTTCAATATACTGTAATTTACTTTACTGTATTTATTTTCATGGCCAGCGGAAGCGGGGGGCCGGGGGGCCCGGGTCCCCCACCTTTTGGCGAAAAATATATAATGTCTGGAGATTTTTGTATGACTGCTGAGAAAGTTTACCTTACCGTTTTCATGAGGGGGAAAACCTTGAATTTTGAAGAACAAAGTAATTAGACACAGCTCAAAAGTCGAGAAAGGTAATTTCCCGCCATCTAGAAATCAAAATTTTCCCGGGAGAGGAATGTTGACCCCACCACCTAGATTTGATTCTAGATCTGCATGATTCATATTCCCATTCATCTTATAAGCAGTGGCGTAAAAGGCGGGGGCCAGGGGGCAGACTGCCCCCCCCCCCCAACGGTTTTTACCGGGCTGACCAAGCCGTCGTACCGGGCTGGGTAAGAAGAGAAAAGAAAGAGGAGAGAGGGAGGGAAAGAGAAAGAAGGGGAAAGAAAAAGAAAGGAAAAAGAAAAAGAGAAGAGAAAAATAAAGACAAGAATAAAAAGGAAGATATAATGAACAGATATCACAATACCCTGGCCTGCAACCCCTTCTCCACTTCAAAAAAGTGTCCATATCGCATTTGATCTAAGCCGCCAGGTATTCTCCGCAGTGGTGTAACCACCGGGGAACAAGGGGAAAATATCCATCTGTGGAAAATATTTCCCCATTGAATGCCCTTTTCACCCGGGAAAGTGCCTGAAAATCTCAAATTTTAAATCCAATATTTTGTTGAGGTAGGTCCAATTTCCTCTAAAAATTGCACATTTTAGGGAGTTTTGATCAATTCCGACGAAATTAGAAAACAACATTTTTCGCGCACTACGCGCGCATTTTTTAATGTTAAAGCTTGTGTTTGCTCTCCTTTGCCTTATAAATTATAACACATAGTCTCAAACTCAAGAAAGAAAATTTAAGGATAGATCGTTTATAAAAGAAGGGCCTCAATGTGTAATGATGTTGAAAGAATATGTTTGTAATAAATAAATCCATAAGGAAAATGCTTATATTCAGTTAAAAAATTCAGTTTAAAAAAACGGGTGTGGCCATATATAACATAAGAGCATTTCTTGTTGAGGTAGGCCAATTTCCTCTAAAAATTGCACATTTTAGGGAGTTTTGATCAATTCCGACGAAATTAGAATTAAAAAAACAAAAATTTTTCGCACGCTTCGCACGCATTTTTTAATGTTAAACATTGTGCTTGCTCTCCTTTGCCTTCTAAGTTATAACACATAGTCCCAAACTCAAGAAAGAAAAATTAAGATAGATCGTTTTACCTAAAAGAAGGGCCTCAATGTGTAATGATGTTGAAAGAATATGTTTGTAATAAATAAAGCCATAAGGAAAATGCTTATATTCAGTTTAAAAGAACGAGTGTGGCCATATATAACATAAGAGCATTTCTTGTTGAGGTAGGCCAATCTCCTCTAAAAATTGCACATTTAGGGAGTTTTGATCAATTCCGACGAAATTAGAATTAACAACACAAAAATTTTTCGTTCGCATTTGTTATGGCTAAGGCTTGTGCTTGCCCTCCTTTGCCTTCTAAGTTATTTAAAAACATAATAGTCCCAAACTTGAGAAAGAAAATTTAAGATAGATCGTTTTACCTAAAAGAAGGGCCTCAATGTATAATGATGGTGAAAGAATAGGCCTATGATTGTAATAAATAAAACCACGATGAAAATGCTTATATTTAGTTTCAAACACACGTGTGTAATAATAAAATAAGCCCTATGTCGTATTGTTTTCTTGGTGGGGGGGTGGGTATCACATCAAGTCATAAATTACTAACCGGGAAAATTATTACCTTTGCCGCCACCCCCCTGACCCAAGACCCCTGTTACGCGCCCGCATATAAGTGGGCCCCCTCACTTTGAAAAACGTTCCGCCGCCCCTGATTTTTACTGTGCACCCCGCACAATCTTATTAGGAAACGGCATTTCAATAACATTCAGAAGAAGTGTTCTGAAAATATTGGTGTGTTAAAAAAAGTGAAGCATTTCCTACCAGAGAAATCTTTACTATTACTGTACTATTCCTATATTTGTCACATGTTAACTATGGGATTATGCTATGGGTTAACGCAAACAAAGGATATGTGAATGAAATATTAAAATTGCAAAAGAAAGCCTTAAGAATAATTACCATTAGTCCATATTTATGTCATACGAAACCTTTATTTGAAAAACTAAATCTATTGGACGTTTTTGATGATGTACAAGAAGGAACTACGTATGGGCATGGAGGTATATGGGTAACATTCCATTGTTTAAATACAACAATGGAATGTTACCCACATCCTTTAACAATATCTTTACTGATCATAAAAGTATTCATTTTCATGGGTACAATACTAGAAATAAAAATAACTATCGACTAGATTGAATCTGTATTTTCAACTGGACCTAAATTTTGGAATAATTTGCCAGAAATAGTTAAAAACTCTCAGTGTCAATCATTTTAAAACACAGATTTCTAAAGCACATCTAATCTCTTAATGCAAGTTAACTTTATGGCAATACTCTGACTTAATAATTACTTGTTCATTTTGGCTACATGTATTTCATATGGGTGGGTGGGTCTGTGTATCTGCCTTAATGTAATTTGTTTAGATTAATGTGTATTTTTAATGTTTTTAAAATATTCTTCTATATTGCATACGATTCTCTTTTTGTTAAGGTAATACAACACATGGTCAGGCCTTGCCTTTGTTGTATTCCCTCCATTAAAAAAAAAAAATTCATGATGGAAAATAAAGATTGATTGATTGATTGCATAATACTCCAATTCAACTTTTTACTGCAATTGTATTATTGATTTGATGACAGTAAAAATACCAAGAAATATCGAATCACTAGGGCTTCTCCTAGTCTTTTGGAGTCTGCATGATCTTTTTATATTACCAAAATATTGTGTCAGTGTTGAAATTGTAATAAGTTACTGTAGATAAGAAAGAAATATTCTTTACCAATTTCCTAATGTTTTTATCCTTTTTTATTCTTTCTTTGTAGTTTACTACATCAATGTCGTGTATTTTCTTAATTTGTAAAATAGTGCTTTTTGACTTTGGAGATGTAAGTACCAAATTTTTATTTGTGTAACATTCTTAACATTTCTATAACGTCTTTCAGTCAGTTGCAATCTTTGGAAGAGTCTTGTATTTTGTAAGTGCCTCTAATGCAAGCATTACACCTATGTCAAAAGAAATGGAGCTTAGTGGTTAAGATGCTTGCCTTCAAGTCCCTGGGTTTAAACCGTATCACAACAACTTGCTGTTATAAAGAGTAACTTACAGTACTAGCGATCTGGTTAAATAAGCTAGAATCTTAAAAACACCTACTTTCACTGCTACTGGTGATTAACATTGCTAACTGACTTCGGGGAGACAATAACACAGTAATAAAACTTGCAAGTATCATGAATATACAAGAGGTATTTAGTGGCATAACACTAAATCCAGGGGCCCTGTGGTTTTCTGAGACTACGACCCTTTTGCATCCCCGGTCGCCAATTTCATTGTGGAGTTTAGATGTGTTTTTGAATAATGTTTGCCATTTTATATAATTATATGTTTTTAACGAAAAAAAATGATATATCAATGGCAAATCTAGTATGAATTTGAAATAGACTGCCCAGGAAGGGACTTTTAAAGATTGAGAGTGTGTACTACCTCAGCCAAACTGCCCCACAATGGTTGTGGTTGAAGTAAGAAAATTTATGATTTTATAGAGTTTCATTACTAATCTTCCTCTCTTCCTTTCTTTATCCAGGATAAAAAAGAATGCAAAACAAATTCTGATGCCAAGATAATGGAGTTTTTCATCTTTATATGCTGTTTTGTCTTAACATGGATTGAAGTGTGGATTCTAGATTTAAAAGTTTTACCACGAGAGAGAAAACGTGAAGAAGGTACTGTACCGTTATACTTCCAGCTAAGTCCTGAAATCACTGTCGATTGTAGCAAGATCGTCGAGTATTCCAATTGACTGACACTGTAGTACATGAACAGTTGCTTGCACCTCACTTCACTGGCAGAGATTAGTGTCAAAGAGGCTGATGTGGTGCATGCATGCCTTGCGCCTGCTGTGTCCAGGCTTTAGTCTATTTAGTAGAACCCAGCGTGTTCATAGCCAGATGATTTAGTTGTTGGCGTAGTGATGAATTGGCGCAGTTGATGAAATTATTCATAAACTCAGTATTTATTTATAGACCCATCAGCTGTCATATAATTTATCGTGGGCTTATATTTAAATATTGCTTTATAAATACTAATAAGAGTACGTTTTGTATAAATATTTAACATAAAAATAACGCTAAAAATAAAAGATTGATGTTTCGACTCCTTCATGGTGTCATTTTCAAGATCAAATGATGAAGTAAAAATATACAGCAACTATAATCAATAGAAAAAAGCTAATCTACAATGTCAAAGTTCGTAACAGTGGGATATTAATCCCTGTGTTAGATAAAAAGCTTTGCTTTGACAGAGTCACATTGTTTATTCAGACTGGGTTTTAATTGTCTAATAAATAGTATTTCATGAATGAGACAGTCAAATTCGTTCCTACATTTCTTTGAAATGCTGAAACATGACTCAATACTGCTTGGGCTGATATGATGGTCCTTAGCATGTTGTCCTAACAGAAATCTTTTATAAATGCTTTATAAATGTTTCATAAAATACAGTATAATTTTTTTTGGATCAGTGAATGTTTTTGTGTAGAGGTCATTATAAAGACTATGCTATTATTTACATTGCTATTTATTTCTTCTAAAGTTGGGCACTTACTGCGCCAAGCAATAGTCGGCTGACGTGATTCCACGGAGAACACAACACCATGACGCATGCGCAACAGATCGTTTTTAATGACAATCCGTTGAGGCTTCCACCGAAAATCAGCAGACGGTGTCCTGACATCTAATGTTCACGGGAGCGGATTTGGATTCGTCGGCTGACGGTAGTACGACCATCGTACGATCCAATGAGTGCCCTTCTTTAGATTAGCCATTTGATTTAACAATAATTTAGTTTCAGCTAGAGATTAATGGCCTTGATTATGCAAATTGTACCTTGTAATTAAACATAGAAGTTTTTTTTTATACATTTTCAGCTCATAATCGCTCTCTGTCGATTGCAACCCAGAACGAAAGGACGCCCCTTTTAAATCCAGCACCACAAGAGGATAGTAGTGTACCTGATCAGACATTTTATTCTCCAATAGCATCGACTACAGGTATGGAATAGTTTAAATATCAGTCTGTGAGAGCAAGCAATTGGAAACTGATTTTATTTAAATATTCCCATATTTTTCAATTCACATATTTATTGCAAAACGTAGTTACTACGATTCCAGTCAAGGACAAGTAGCAACCACCTAAAATGTATGAAATAGAGGAACAGCCATGGTGCAACTCTCATTATGGCCCTGGAACATTGTTTAGGGTGGACTAACATGCTTAACACCATAAACTCTGAAATACAGTATTTATTATTATCACTATTTTACATGCATATGTAATCATTCACATTGTATTCGTGTTTGTAGGCTCTGATGATGAATGTGTAGAGTATAGTCCTGCAAGTAGTTATCGTTCCAAAGTTGATGAATTTCAATCGCTGCCTAATAGTCAACGAGGGAGTTCTATAAACCTTGCTGCGTCCGCAGAGGTAATAAAGAAAAAACAATTGGTCAGAAAATGAATAATATTTTTTAAGCATAATAGTGTAGATCCTATCTGCCCCTATTTTCACCCTCATCACTAGATACAGATCGTACACAAAATGTAAATTTATTCTATACTTTTTGTGAAGAGCTCAATATATTGTCAATCTACAACCCATGTACATACTGTTCTATAAGTTCAAAATTATGCAGGACCAATGGACATCTTCCAAAAGATGTTGAACTCTTAACTTGCATTTCAGCCCTACATCAAACACATAGGAGATCAGTGATAAAATTGACCCTGTGATTAGAGATATAGTTTTTTAATTGAACATAAAATATGGAAAGTCCAGCATATAAATATCTAAATAACAATATGTGCATCATTGCAGGTGCATCATTTATTTGCCTTATATAGTTTCATTGCAATAATTTCTCCTTTGTGCACTAATTTTGCACTGAGTGTATGGAAAACACCTATACTAATGGCTGATAATTTCATTCTGCCAGGATCAGGCATATCTAGAGAAGGCTAAAGAAGCCCAAATGCAAATGCAAATGATAGCATTAGAAACAGAAGGATGGAAAATGGAGCGGAAGAGAGAAAATATCATAGTCGAAAGCAGGTATTTTGAGGGAATAACTGGAAAAGTTTATAAGCTTGAGGTAAATGACATTTAATTATTTATGTTTTTGTAGTTTATGAGTATTTTTCTACATACACTGTTTTAAAAAACATTTTTTTAAATTGTGCTTCTCAGGGCATTATAGAAGCCAGCGTTCAAGAGATATTTAAAGTGATGTGGGAGGGTATTGATGACACCTTAAAGTGGAATACTACCGTAATTGAATGTCGTCTGCTCCACTCAATAAGTTCAACTGCTGATATTGTCTATAGCGTCGCAGCTGAAGGTGCTGGAGGGGTGGTGGCCAGCAGGTACACACATTTCGCTCTTCAGTTTTCAGGACTAAGTTTCATTTTTCTAATCCTAGTTTTAGAGAGAGAGAGAGAGAGAAAGAGCAGCTCAGCTCGCCTGAACGGGTGTTAGCCGTGCATTGAATTGTGGAGATTCTTTTACAATTTTGGTCCTTGGTTCATTTCCGTTGTGATCTCCTTTTCAGCTGGAGGGCTAAAATGTAAATTATAATAGCACCCCAACTTTTGACATTAAAGCTGTTGGTCCTATATGCAGTGTGACCCATGTGCATGTTAAAGAATGCAGTATTCTATTTTGAGAAGTAAAGGGTATCGCAGTGGTGACTGTAGCAATCAAACATGAATGCTGCCCTCTATAGCTTATCCATTTGACAAAAGACCATTACAAATTACAAGGTGCATGTTTGAGCAAAACAAACATCTATTTTAGCATAACTTACTGCGTAGTACAGTTTATTTCATTAATAGTGTTGTTTAACTTGCACTTATTTCCTTATTGTTATTTGTAGAATTTCAACATGACATACTTTGGATGTATTTAGTGTTAGTATGTATTACTTAATGTACACTACATGTATTTCAATATAAAGGAGTTTCATTTGTGAAGTATTATATTTAATGTACAGTGTATTTTTAAGAGAATTTACCTAGTTTAATATACTAAGCAAGCAATTTGAATTTAAAATTGTATTTACTTTATTACTCTATTACCTCAAAACAGACAGAATGTCTTTATAGTGTGCCCATACAAGTAATTTAATTACAGATATTTATTTTTGATGATCTTATGCTATTGTGTGAATAATTGTAGGGATTTTGTGAGTGTGAGGACATATCAAATTGAGGGTAGTGTGTATCGGTGTGCATCTAAATCTGTTGAATATCCTGAAATGGAGCCAGTCAAGAAATATGTACGGTAAATATTTTATTTAATTTCATTTCAAACAAGCAGCAAATGTATTTAATTAGTGGCTTATTATTAATTAAAATTTGGTAATTGGGGTATGATGCAAACACTCTTAAAAACAGTAAACGAACAAAGATTGAGGCACCAATCAGATAATAAAAGGTATTTTATTTTCTTTGATATTTGGAAAAAACATGGATAGGTCTAATATATTTTTAAATATATAAACCAATACGTTGATGTTGACTTACACAAGCTTTCGTCAACATCAACCTATTGGTTTATTTATTTAAAAATATTTTAGACGTATCGATACAGAACCAGATGAAACTATTCGATCATTGGAATAGGTTTATGTATACTAGGCTTCACTAGACACCTTCGTCGGAACTAACTCAAGATTAGGTACCAAGAGAATGAAACTAAATAAGAAAAAACAAGACTTTTGCTTAGTTTTGAAACAAGGAAACCTCATAAAGACCTTACTTGTTTGTTTTGAAAACATCATAGTTGACTAGGATATCATATTCTCTGTTTTCAGATTGTGTCAAGAACATCATTTGAATATGCAACACTGCCCTCTCTTGACAATTATGTTTTTGGCTCTTTAATAATTGAAATTAAAAATGAGGGCAGGGAAGCAAACACTACGAAGGACAGCAGAATATATAGGAATGGTTATTAATCTGAGAATAAAATATTTTTTTTATCTTGGATATACAGAAACTACATATGTGATTGTATACTTTACGGAAATCTCTCCTAGTATTACATTACGAGACCACTGAAGATTAGGCAATATGAAAATGAAACTAAAAAAGGCAAAAAAAAATCACTGGCATAGTTTGCTTAGTCCTCCAGCAAAGAAATCTCTTATAGACCTTGTTCATTAGCATTGCATATTTTAACATAATATGGTGATCAATCCTTTTTCCAGCTTTCAACATGTCATACATTTCATAATTTTCTAGTAAATGTGCAACACCATCCTCTATTGATAATGTATACTAATTTTGACTGTTGCTTACTATAATATCAAAGCAAAAAAAAAAAACTAAATTAACTAAAGCTTAATAATTATAATATTTTAAGTTTTATAACTGAATTTTCAATTTAGTAAATTCAGAAAGTATGAAATATGTTTGGTACATTTCAGTGTTTATGTCATAACAAAATATGGTTAGGCTCTTTTTCACCAATGAAATGAATCATAAATACAACATTTAAATACATAATGAATTCTAAGTACTGTACATGTATGATATATGTACAGTAACACTAAAACAAGTTAAAAAGATCAAAACTAGACACAAATTTAACAAAAATGTATAAACTTTTAATTAAAAAAAATCTCTTATACACATCTAGATGTGTATAAGAGACAGCTTTAAATTAAAAAAAAAAAAACAAAAAAAAAAACAATTTTTTTTATTTACTCTAGTGGTGAAAATGGACCAGGTGGTTGGATTGCTGAGCCTCTTGATGGGAACCCAAACATTTCTAAATTTACATGGATCTTGAACTCTGACCTCAAGTTTATGGTAAGTTGACATTTGACCGACAAAAATGAATTATATTTGCAGTTGTCTTAAATATTAAAAATGTTTTCTGTCTGCCAGAAAGGAAGTGAACATCATAGCAATAACAACTGGATTTTTATTTGGAATTATTTCTGCCGAAAAGCGTGACCTTTTGTGATGAAAGTGTGTGATGTAAATCTGTAAAAGAATGTCTGACCCAGTTTCCTTGACCCTGCTTTGTGCGCTCCTTTTGTCGGAAAGGACACGCCTTCATTCTGATTGGTTGATTTCAATAACATCACGCTCTATAGATCACAATTGTCCAAAATGGAAAACAGTTATGTAATGAAAGAACGAGATGGCTTTTTCTTAACAGCCATTTCAACGATAGCAATTCCGAACCAAATGGTATCTTGTTCTGTGTAACACCGTTTTGGATCATTTCAATTACCCTTGTATGGAGATAAAATTTGGCGATTGCACACGTTAAAGCATGTTCAATCATTGGTGTGTGCTTTTAGAGATGTATCTATAGATGACCTAAAACAGGTCGGGGCATAGTTATTTACACCGCATTCATGTAAAAAGTTGGAAAATCTAATGGGCTGTTACAGGAACTGAACAACATTTAAAACCTCCCTCTGTTTGGAAGTTTTATAAAATTGTTTTTGGATAATTTGCCATTAAAGATAACATAGTATAGTTGGTTAGGAGGGGAAAAACTGCATGAAACAATGGGATTAGGAAGGAGAGGAAGATAGCTGCTTAAAACTATATATGCCATGAAAGCTATAATTAACAATTTGAAATGTAGTTGAAGTTATTTATAGTATATCCAGTTACATGAACTTCAAACTTGTGGTAGGCCTAAATGCATGTTCATTGTAGCATTTAAGTTTGGCTTATCTGGAATGGTTTTTCAGCTTTTCTGTTAAGTCCTTTATATCCCTTTCTATTGTATGCCTCTGCCTTGTTGATCCGGTGTTTAATTGGAATCGTTTATTGAACAACTCATGTAAAGAAGTCTCGCCCTGAAATTGATTATCAATGTTTTAGTGGAGGTCTTTTACGTTTTCAAAATGCTGAAATAGCCAGCATGTGTTAGAATTAATCAAGACGTGTTCTTCTTGCTTAGCACCTGTCCGCAGACAAGATCCAAAACTTAATAGTCCATTTACTCAGCTCGTGTGACCTCTGCAAAACATTTATGTTTTCTGGGTCAGCGTTAAGGATCCTGAGATGGTTGGTAATGTTACACCATAAGACCTTAATCCTACCCTCTTTATTCACACTTCTAGATACCTGAATTCAACAAACTAGATATCCTGTATGTTGCTTCCTGCACGCCCACACAGCCTAGAGAATACCCCTCAAGTGTGATCCCTCTATCAAATAACAATATGAGCCTAACAGGAGCTGATATAATAATGAACCGCTCTTTTAGACCGGACCGATTAAAAAAAAAAATAAATACTCAACACAACAAAGAACATGATGAGATTATATTTCCCATTGATTGGCTTACAGTATATGCAAAAATATAGAGTAACCCTTGGTTGTAAGAGGTCGGTAATCCGTTGAGCAAAGTAGGACTGTTATGGAGCGGGTACGCTCTTGCATGTGTCACGATTAATGCTGAACCCAATTAAGTACGTAAGCAAATGTAGGCCATGTCGTTTACACTGCGCAGTAAGAGAACAGTAAAATACTAATGTGGTGCCAGATAACATTTTAACTGTGAAAGCTAGGCATCCGTGAGAAATCCTTGTAGTGTTTTTGCCGTACTTTTATCACCCCAATATCTTTCCTCCCTGACAGCTGTATGTAGCTAGTAATACAACAACTTTTGTTTATATTTTATATATTCAAAATATTCTACAGGATTGTTAACAAATTTGGAAACAACCAGGACCACTCCAGACTCATATACTACATAATATTAAAATGAAATATATGTTAAATTAAAAAATAGATCAAAACTGATTCAGAAAATTTATCTTGAAAATTTATTTAATATTTTTTATCTTATTTTCTATCAATTGGAATATTTCCTAATTCTTCTTTCATTAATTTTTTAACAAAATGGTGCATAAGAATGTTAACAACCAACCGAAGATGCATTTTAAATGAACCAAAACATGCACAGAGTGTTTTATGAATGTAAAATTGTTTACCTCTGTGTAAATGTATAAATGAAGAGAAAAAATCTCCTTTTCAAAAGAATATCTCGCATTCTATACCATATAGCTAGATATCAATGCTAATTCACTTCTTAAATCTTAATTCCTTAAATTAATTTTTTTTAAAGTTATTCTATTTTTATTAATTACTTATTATACTATTATTAATAATTGTGTAGAAATTACTGAAAATCATTTAGTCAGTGACAAAAAAATGTAATTAACACATTTTATCTGCAGGTTTATAGTCATTCAACGACAATTTATTTTTTTTAGTACCAAGATTTTCTTCTTTTTTTTCACCCCTATAGGTCTGGACACCTCAAACTGTCCTGGACACTGCCCTCAGTGTTGTGGTCATGAACATCTTTTTTGGACTTCGAGAACACATCAAATCGCTGAAGCAGAGTAGCATTCCAAATGGCCACGCCAACTCAAACACAAGCTATGATGAAGAACCGATTTCAGTATGAGCTTCATTTGGCCCTCAGTAAGCAAATCAGGTCAAATAAATTTTTTTTGTTTGATTTCCTTTAATTTATTTTTTCACAATGATCACCAATAACAAAGAAACATTTTTTTAAAATTAAGTGACAAACCTTTTGACAAGACAAACAAATACACATGATGCTGCACACGAAGTAAGTTTTGCATGAGGCTAAAGGTAAGCACACACTGCATCGTGCATACTGAGCAAATTGTCATTAAAAAAAAAAATTAAGCGCTGTGCACGCCTTGTCTCGTTCCGTTCTCCATGGAATCGCGTCAGCAGACAACTGTCAGTTCAGCGTGTGTTTCCATTTATCCTAATAGGTCAGCCGATATATTGGGGCCCTCATATATAGTGAAATAATGTCTCATTACAAGGTGAATGGAGATTGATTTCCAAATTTATTTCAGACTGTTATAATATTACAAGAACACTGGTGCTTACGACCTGTATGGCTTACTTAGGCCTATACAGCGTCTTCTATTGTTGGAGGAAACAGAGTGACATATTTTCCCACTAACTAGCATGCTAGTTTAAAAGCACAAGAATTCTATAATCATTTGTTAGTCACAACAATTTCTGCAAATTTTTTTGGGTATGTTGGCTAATTGGCTAATTAGTATGTCTCCTTACTTTCGGTTTGAACATTGGTTTTTCCAAACTATGCTGAAACTAAATTACTTCCATGATATGTGGTAGTATATAACTACAGAGAAAAAATTATTTGTAGTTAGTTCCTGTGGACCACACATCTAGGGTAAAATTATTAGTCTAACTGTTCAAAAGAATTGCTATAAGACTGTGATACTCATCCTTTATAGTTCATTTTCTCTGGCTGCTATTACCCATATGTTGACCATCCCTCGTTTACACATCTAGATGTGTATAAGAGACAGAACATGCACAGAGTGTTTTATGAATGTAAAATTGTTTAATATATGTGTGTGTGTGTGTGTGTGTATGGCCTGATAATATTCAAACTGTATGATGAATTTTTAAATTTGAGAATAATTGTCACAGTATTTGAATATCTCCTAATAAACCGAGCAGGTTCTTTACCGGTAATTCAGAACGTTGTAAACGAGTCTGCATAGACACTGTCATTGATCATACGGTCACTTTGATCTACGACCTCTGAAAAGGGACAAGGTTAGGCGGAACATTCGCTAGTCTAACCACTACAAGCCTTGAACGGTTTAAGCTGGACAAATTTGTTGCGTATTAAAAGTGCGTGACCCAAGCCTACTTGGTCTATCGTAAAAGGATGCTCCTGGGTTACCTCAAGATTTGTTCATAAACCATTAACTCTGTATTGGGTCATGCTTTACATGAAGGAAAACACCAGATAAATCTTTTCAACAAATTTTTTAATGTGGTATTGCAATTAATATTAATAAAATTTCCTCTTGATGTCCGTTCACTGAGCTATCAACTAGTTCCTTTATGTCTGTTCATAGCTGAGCTATAAACTAGGTAGGGGAGGGGGTAAGGATGAGAATATTCATGTTTGCTGTATTTGTTCTTTAAGAAATGAAAATATGTAAATAAGATAGACATAATAATATAAGTAAAATAATATTAATAATTATCATTTAAACAAAATGAATTAAATTGAAATTTTCTGAAGTTATATAATATACTTGTATTTGTAATATTTTTTGTTTACAACAAAATACTCAATGTATTCCAAGTTCTTAAACAATAATAGCCTTGTTGATACAAGCTTGCCATAGTACTGCAAAATGAAGATATTATTATTATTATTGTTATTATTATTATTATTATTATTATTATTAATATTTATCATTACTGTTACTGTTGTTATTAATGTTACAATTATACAGTATAGCTTTGTTATTGTTTTATTATTTTCAGTATTGATATTGATAATTATTATTATTGTTTTTTTATTATTATGTTAAGTTATTATTTTTTCAAATTGATCCAATATTAATCTATCGTTATCATGCTGATCTCATATTATTCTAAAGTTGATTTTGTATTGATCACATGTTTATCCATATGAGATCAATAAGTGGTAAAAACAAATCAACATGAGATCAACATGTGATTCATATTGATCTTGTGTTGATCTTACAGTGATGTCATATTAGTTCATCTATTGATCACATGTTTAATCTCATATTTATCCCTTGTTGATCTCATATTCATTTCCAATATGAGATCAACATGTGATCAATACTAATCAACATGAGATCAACATGTGATGTATATTTATCTTATGTTGATCCTACAGTGATCTCATATTAGTTTGTGTATTGATCACATGTTTGATCTCATATTAAACTTATGTTGATCTTACAGTGATCTAATATCAGTTCATACATTGATCACATGTTGATCTCATATTGATCTTATATATTGTTGATCTCTTCATTTTCATTGTTTAATTTTAGAACTAAACATTGCACCTGTTGTGTGAATGCATCCTTGGTTGTTGTAATAGAATTAAATATATGTATGCGTATGTCATGTTCCTTCTATTTGCTCATGTATAATTTGACCTCTACTCACCATGAATATTCTTCTTGAGTCACGGAGCTTAAACTTATTAGCAACATTTGCTAATGAGACATTGGGCAGGAATTGATGGAAGGCGCAATGAAAAAGAAGCGCAAGCAGGCTAGAACATTTACCGTTACCATGATTTTTTTCTCAGTCAGATCGGACGCTTTGATTTATGGTGCCGGCGTAGTTACTATAGCACCGTGTCGGTGTTTACTGAAATCTTTGCCCCATGAAGTCCAGACCTTTTTCCCCCGACCTAGATTATTCAGACATGTGACTATTCAGTTTTTCCTATTAGGTACTAACAAATGTATGATTTTATATTTTGTTGACATTCTATCATCAACACAGGAAACTTTTTTTATATAGATTATTTATCTAATTATTTTATTTTCTTTCAGAGATTATCACTGCTTTTCCATAAAGATCTTGTATTATACATCGTCATAAAAATATATTACTTAATTACAGTCACAAATAACATATTAATGCCAACATTAATTTTCTCTAGTTAAACATTTTTTTTTTGTATTATTGGTTGTTGAAGTTTATTTATAGCGATTATTGTTTCTTTAAAGGTTATATTACAAATTTTAAATTTAAATTTAAACATGCAAAATCTGTAAATTAATTATTACATTTTAAGTTCTCAAAGTCTATTAATCTTTTTGTTGTAAACTTGCAAATTAGTTCCAATAAAATTTGCTAATATATTTAAATATTTTTAAAATAAAAAAATATTTTTATATATTTTATTTTATGGAGATTCTAAGTTAATAGTCAGTTTATACAGCCTGATGGTTATGTTATACTTATAAACGTAATAGTTGTATTCCGTGTGCAACTGACTTTCAAGGCATTTACATCTGTTAATAGAGGAAATGTGTTTCTTCAATTCTAAATGTTAAGCACTCCAGTGCAAGGGGTTACGGAGGTCAGCATGTACTCCGACCTTTGAAGGCACAAGCATTATGCCCTTATTGCAGTCAAGCACCCTTTTGTACATCTTCACTGCAACTTGTGAAGATTGCCTGATGCTTAGCATTCAAATTGCACTTCTTTCTGCCATCAGTTCAGGGCCACAGAAAAGAATAATAGTGCCCATTAGTTGATGATAAGTAGGATCGCAACGACGACAAGGGATAATACTCTGTTCAGTGCTACTGTAGAAAATAGGATTAGTTGCAGATATTTTTAAAGTGATACAGGCAAGGGGTGCATTTCCTCAACAAACTATTTTAGTTTGGTCGCTTCTGAAAATGTTCTGCGGCAGTATTACATAAAACCGTTGCCAAATTTGGAATGTAGTGGTTAAAAGGGTTTATTCACGTATTATCTTCTACAAGAAGTATAAATACTATGCGTCTAGTGGTGTGCATGAGTCCTAATTGAGTAGGATGTTAACAGTTATTTTAATAAGAATGATGAAAATGTTGATAGCAATGGTGACAATTTAGTTGATAGTGGTTAGTGCTAAAATAAATTCTACAGCAATGTTTGTGATGATAGTGACAGGTAAGAGAGTAAGGTAGTTCCTAGTGAGGTGAATGGTGATGGATATGATGATGTAGAAGAGTAGCAACATGGCGATAATTGTTGGTTGTAATTGATGATTTCGGTGATAATGAGGGAAATTAAAGTGATGTTGATGTTATGAAATTGTTACATAGAATACTATGGTGGTGGTGATGATGGGAAGGAGTAAAGTAGTAACAAAATAATGTTGATGTTGGTGATGATGATGATGAAAATGATAATGATGTGGAAGAGTACAAAAAGGATGAAGATTGTTGATGAAAATAGTACAGTAATCGGGAGAAAGTGAAAAAAATTGCACATTATGGAATGAGAGTTCAAGATATAACCTTGTTCTGATGTCTCCTTGACATCACCTTTTCACCCTTACAGCGACCATAAATCACCAGTAAATTTCTTAATCTTGTTGAAGCTAATTGCCAACTTTTCCTCACAAGTATATATAATGGGGAATGCATGCACGTTCATGATCATCAAAATAAAAAAAAAATATTGAAAATTGCGCTCAACTTACACCTGGGAAAGTTTTTGTGGAAAGGTGGAATATCCCGAAAGTCTTACGAAGTATAATATTTCGGAAATCGTTACGGTGCCAACCGTGTCGGTTGCTAATTTCTTCTTATTATATTGTAAACGTATGATATCTTAAGTCTGGTGTCTGCTCTGTGATTGGTAGTTAGCAAATTGTTTTCAAATTAATGAAGGCAATCTTGAATTGGCTAAGCCACGTACCCACATACAACTGATAAGAGTTTAACATGTCAAGGCGGTGTGATAAAAAAAGTTTGTATCTCTCATTCCATGGACATTAGCTAAACCTATTTCTCCCTGCTCATCCAAACATGAACCTACTGCTCAGCCGACCTATTTACTCACTCAAGGTTCTTCACAAATTGATAAATATCATATTTAATTGATATCTCATTGTGTTGATATCAAATACGTTAT